CGGCGCCCTGCACCGCGTCCTGGCCGGGGCCGGGGCTGCGGCTGGGGCCGGGGCCGGGGCCCGCCGAGGCCGCCGAATCCCCCCGCATGTACTGGTCAACTGGGCAGTGCAGATTGCCCAAGGCATGCGCTACCTCCACGAGCAGGCGGCTGTGCCTGTCCTGCACCGCGACCTCAAGTCCAGCAACAGTGAGTGTCGTGGGGGGGGACGGACACTACACTCACACTTGCACATGGTCACACTTATGCTCACACTTCCAAGTGACCTACAGGATGGTACATTCATACTCACACTTGCGCACACACCCTTAGGATCCTGGCCTGGGACAAGCCTGTGGGGGTGGCCTTGGCTGCTGAGTGTCGGGGGGCAGCAAGAAGGAAGGAGCTGACTGCCCCCAGCCCCGTTCCTTGACCCCATTGCTAGGACTCCTCATCATGGTCTGCAGGTCTTGTCCAGCAGCAGTGCTTATCCTTGAGGTGCCCATATCAAATGCCAGCTGGTAGCTTTTGCAGGCTTTCTTGTCATTGGCAGTCTCTTCCCCCGATTCAGGGACAATCCCTGCCATGCCTCATGGGTGGTTCTTGAGGTGACGCGAGCCCAAGCCTGGGAACTGTCTGCAGAAGTCTTGGTATGCGCAGGGGAGAGTGGGCTATGGACCGGGAGGTGGCTGGCTGTGAGAAATGCTGGAGCAGTTCTTCTGGTGGGTAGAGCCTGGGGCAGAAGAACCGTTCAAAGGGTTTTGATGCTGTGGGCTCCTCTTGAGCGTATGCAGGGCATTGACTGCCATGGTTCCCCTGCTTTACCTGTGGTAGTTGAGGGTGTTGGGGCTGTGTTGGATCAGCTTGGTGGTCTTCTGTAGAGTTTAGATGATGGTTGTAGAGGATTGTTTGGATGAGGATGATCCTGCCTCAAGCAGGGGGTTGGATTAGATGAGCTCTGGTGCTCCTTTTCAGTCGTACTTCTCTCTCACTCTTTGGAGTCTGAAGTTATTTTGTGAATGCTGACAATGTGACTGCTGTACAGCACCTTTCAAAGGATCCCACAGGACCTTTGGGTGTCATGGCACCATGGTTGAGAATCACTGTCTTACTACCTGCAGGGTCCACTTGGGTCTGGGGACCTCACTCTTCTGCTGCCTAAATTGTGTGTTTGTGCATGTCTGCACATACAACTTTGCCTGGCTACATCTTGACTTCTCTTTTCTCCCATCCTCCTTAGTCCCTCAGAATCCATCCTGTGGGCAAAACGTATTTGGGGGCATCAGTTAGTAGGCTGGCTGTCCTTACTAACTGAAACAATGAGAGAGCCATTCATTTATGAACAGTAAGATAAATGTTATGATTTGCTTACTGGAAGAGAGTGACTAGGCAAAACAGTTGGCTGAACTACTTTGACTGACTGAAGTGGTGGCAGCCGGCCACAGGGAGAGGGGATCTTTGGAGTAAGCAAGTTTC